ATGAACATTAAAATAAACCTTATCGTATATTTGATTTTGTGACGTAAGTCATCTTTATTAACTTATTTCATTGTCATTTTTTTGTGCATATCAAAACATATAAATTCTATTTTATTATATCAAACAAAATTATTTGTGTATGTCTTTTTTTATATGTCAAAGACCGTTTAAAAAAAAACAAAACAAATAATATTGTGTACAAAAAAATATTTAATAATATATAACTAACATTTTATTTTATTGCAATAAGTTTGTTTTATGTTCTCACCAATCATCTAAATAATCAACTGAAACTAATATATACTTGTAAATTAAATATACGGTGGGGTCGTAGGGTCTACATCAACTTGTTGGTTGTTGGTTGTTGGCCGTCATTGAATTTTGAGCACTATGCTTTACTCAACTTATTTAAAATGAATTTATACTTTGTGGAGAGCGAATCTTGAACATATATGCAAATGTTACAAAATAAAAAAAAAAAAATATTATATATCTAAATCAGAAAAAAAAAATAATTAATAGTGTGTATTACATATTACTAGTACAACGCCCGTGTATTACACGAGTTCTTGCTAATTTTTTTCTTAAAATCCAAAATTAGTGAGAAAAGGTAGTTGAAAATTTAAATATCTTTTAAAAATATTTATATTATTAATATATGACACTTTTTATTTGTGCGACTTACTTGTGTTATATTATAATAATTTTTTAACTTACAACATATAACTACATTAAAAATAAATATATCAATTGAGAAATAATTTTATTTTTCCAATGAGTTTTAGTAAATCTTATTACTTTTTATTATTATAAAGATAAATATAATTTATTTATTTCATGTATACAATATGGATGTCAAATCTAAGATCATCAAAAGATGATTAATTTAATATATTATATATGTAAAACTGATAAGAAATACAAAAGTTATCAACATTTAAAATACATTTACAATTCAATAGCTAATTGTAGGAAACAAATCAAAAGTCTGGAATATATTAGTCACTTAGTGACTCACTATCTAAAATTACAAAGAATTAAAGGGTTATATTAGTACAATTGATATTAAACTACCTAAGTTAGCTAAATAATATTTATGGAATGCCCGAACCTAGATTATTAATTATTAATATATAATATTATTTGTCCAAACCTAACTACGAACATGATTCTTCGCCAAGTATGATTCCGAAGCACCAGAAGCAGCCACTTAGGTTCAGCGCATTCTGGAATAATATATAGGGAGAAATTTGATTGTTAGATTAAATAGCTGGATTTTCTTACTTCAATAAAAGAACAATATAATTGTCGAATTTACTATATATTAATAACTACTATTATAAGAATAAAATGAATAATCTAATTTCGCATATAATTTGAATACAATAATAATGATAAACTTAAAAGTATTAGCAAAGTAAAATATATATATATATATATATAAATTTAAAATGGACAGATTAAATCTTATATACAAATAAATTGATCGTTTTTAGAGAATTATGGTACAAATTCTATAAATAATATACTTACATAGAATACATATACGTTTTTTATTATTTCATCTAATAATTTCCCTCTTATAATTAAATACTATATGAGTATTATTTTATTTAAATATATATGATTTTTATTAAATAATCACAAATCATTTGTTAGACATATCAAAGAAGAATGTAATTTTTTTTGCACAAGTATGCAGGAAATATTAAAGAACCTTTGCATCTCGATCAATGACTAACGTATAAAACTTTATCTGTGGTACAACGCTAAAATTTTTAATTTACAATAAAAATTGATAAGAAGAGTAACATAAGTTGATAAAACTAAAATTAAGATACATTATTAAAATGGCTGAAAAATATTAGGTAGGATTTTTTGTCTTTCATATTTTTAAAATTTTTTTCCTAAGGCAAATTCGAAATCTATATATTATTTCTAATAACTGTTTTAATACTGACAAAAAGAAATGATGTTATATATAATTACAATATTGTAATGATTACATAAGGAAGACAATATTGCTTAGCAAATTAACAAGGATGCAATTATATTATTTTTTAGAACACATTAATCGTTACAACTTTTATTAATTACCAATGTAGTGATGTAAACACAAATACAATGGAAGTTGAAACATACAAAAGATAACCAAAAAATGGGCAGAAAATAATTTAATTTTTATATTTAATGAGTAGGCTACAATTATTTATATATATTATAAATTCCAACGGAGGTCAATATTAAAAGTTTTCGTTGGAATTAAAACTTTTTCGTTTTCTAGTTGGAATTTGATTATTCCAATTTTTATTTTTATTTTTTTTTTATTTTTTTGCCAATGATTTATTTTTATAAAAATATTCATTAGAACATGCAATTTTCATTCGAAATCCATCATAAAACCAATTCCAACTTAGCATTTCCGTGATGTATTTATTCAACGAGTGTTATGATATTGAAATATTCATTGAAATTCTATTTTGGTATATATTGCCGTTGAAATTTGATGAATTTCATCCGCTTAGTTTATTTGATATTGTTATTAAAAAAAAAAAAAATATTAAGTTTATTTGAAACAAGTCAGCAACAACTCGGTAATGTTAGTTTGAAATTGAAAATACATGCGTGTTTGAATGAAATTATAAATGAATAATAATTAAAAATTTAGAATTTTATAATATGAGTCAAAGAAATTAAACAATGACTATTGACCTGGTTAACTATTGAAAATATTAAATTAAATTTTTCAGGAAAATATTTTGGCGTTATCTTGAATTTGACTTTTTTTAAAGACTTTTGGCATGCGCAAGAAACTTTTGGTTTTATTTTTATTTTATTTTATTTATTTAAATAAATTTCATATTCCCATAGAAATTTACATAAATTATATAGCCATATTGAAGAGTAGCCATTTGGGCAAAAAGACCAAATGACCTGTCTTTCTTTCTTGTGTTGTGAAAGATCAACTGCAAAACACCATGAGCTTGGTAAATTGCACATCTAATTTCTATCTTTTTTTTTTTT